TGTTCAGAACGTCATGGTAGACTTCTCAGGTACAATAATAAATAAAATGTTTTACATACTCTCATTAGGAAATAGGAAGCCCAGGCAGGATTAATATACATTGTATTTTAAGAGTACACACACTTCTCTTCCCTAGTTTGTTCTAAGCCAATGAATTCCAAAAATTAGTTTCTTCTTCAAAGTACACACTTAAAGAAATGCCTTCACTCTTCTGTTTGTTATAGTGCTGTTCACCAACAGTGAAACATCAAGTTAGCCTATGTTCTAGCAAAAGAAAAAAATCCACATCTTTTATCTTGCACAAAAGTTATTTTGCAATGGATCTAAGACCTTAGTTTAAGCATAAAATACTGAAACTCTCAGGGAAATCACAGGGGATTCTCATCAAGACTTTAGGTTAGGAGATAACTTTCTGAACAGAACTACAGTAGCACAGGAATGAGTCCCAAGCATCAACAGATGGGACTTCACAGAATTTAAAAGTTTCAGCACGCCGGATGTTGGTGGTACATGCATTTAATCCCAGCACTTGGGGGACAGAGTCAGGTGGATCTCTGTGAGTTTGAGGCCAGCCTGGTCTACAGAGCAAGTTCCAGGACAGCCTCCAAAACAATACAGCAAAGGAAACCATGAGCAGAGCACACAGGGAGTCCATACAATGAAATAATTTTGTTTTACTAGCTATGCTTTAAACCTGGAACCGATATCCAGAATTTACAAAGAATTACAGAGATGAAATACAAAGAAAAAAAAACCACCCCCATGAACAACTGGGATAATGAAGCAAACAGAGGAAGAAGTACATAAAACAAAAAATCAAACACTATTTTTAAGATTGTAAAATATCCTTAACTCATCAAAACATGCATATAAAAACTGATTTGAGGTACCACCTCATACCAGTCAGAATGGCTAGCATCAAGAACTCTGGCAGCACTTTTTCCGAGAAGCCATCAAAATGACTGAAGCAGAGTAGGAGGGAGGGAGGGAGGGAGGGAAGAGAAAGAAAGGAAATTTGACAGCAAATGCTGGAGAGGATGCGAGGGAAGAGGAACACTTATTGACCACTGGCAGGGGTGCGAATTAAAACAACTATTACTGAAATCAGTTTGTGAATGCCTCAAAAAGAACTAAAAACAAATACCATATAACTACGGGAATATACCCCAAGAGCTCCATATCCTACTTTAGAGATAATTTGCACATCCGTGTTTGTTGGTGCTGTATTAACAACAGCAAGGCAATGCAAACAACCTAGATGTCCATGAACCGATTGATGGATAGCGAAAAGGCAGTGCCTATACAAAATAGAATATTGTAGAGCTGTAAAGAAAAATGAAATCATGAAATTTATAGGAAAAACTGATGGACTTAGAGAGGGTGTGTATACTTACATACAGGCATGTAACAACAATTATCGAATAAAGAGACTGCATTTGAAAGAAAGCAAGCAATCATAATGACCAGCAAATAACGTTCTTTTAGGGGCTTTTTCTAAGCCTTGTTCTTTCCATGCTCCCCCCTTTTCAACTGGCATTTAGTGTGTGTGTGTGTGTGTGTGTGTGTGTGTGTGTGTACATCTGTACTAAGAAAGGGTAATGGTTGATGAGGAAAGACAAAATGCAGAAAGACACATGAGTCATGAAAGAGATCATAGGTCTTTTTCTTCCTGTGGTCCTTTTTTTTCTTTTGCGATAGAGATAGATAGATACTGAACGGCGTAACAGATACTAAAAGTGTAAAATCCTAAGTGAAGCTCCCTGGCTTCAGAACGGCCATCCCGACTATATAGAAGTTCGCTGGGATGAACAGAGTTTGAGACTGGACAAGTGGACACGTGTTTGAGTGGGTTCCTTAAATCACCTGTATAGTGGCTTTATTTGTGAGCTTATTAAAATAAAGTGATGCTTTTTATAGTTGAAAAAGAAAGGAATAAACAACTCACAACAATGTTTAAGGAGGCAGGACTGTCAGGCTATCACAGAGAGTGTTTATAGAGAACAGAAAGGCTTTACATGAAATTGTGTAAAGGGTTTCCTAAGTAGAAAACCTATGCTCTTAGCTACTGTCAGTTACCATGGGACACATTCTCCACCAAACTTCCTAAGAAGGCACAAACACTCAGAGCTTTTCTCAAAGGAGACACTCATCAGGATATGTGGATGGGTGGAGTGGCAGGCAGAGAGGCAGAGCTGCATATAATGCTCCCAGTCTTCAAAAGTAAACCTCCCTCTGGTTCTCATTGTTCTTTTCTTTTTAACATATGTGTGCTCATCATACCCTCTGTTGTTTTTTTCTTCCAAATACTGCTGTCTCCATGGTGCATTTTGTGACTCTGTTTATGCCAAAGACACATTGGGCAAGATTCTGAAGACCTAATCTGCTGATCCAGAGGCTCTCAGAACCTGGACCATTGCCAAATTCATGATGACCATGCGATGCACACTTGTTCTGTTTCCCTAACAGTTACTAAGCAGTAATTTTGGGCACAAGAACTTCAAAGTCATGCTGATACCCGTTTAAACCGCATTCCTAGTATTCATTTCAGCATTTGCTAGTGTTTCTATCTTTCTTTCTAAGGCCAGGCAAAGGCTAGTTTGAAGAAACTACCTTATGGAAATATTTGCACCTCAAAGCTCAACTTGTCTTTTTAGATGTAGCCTTTCAAATAAAGGGCTGGAAGAAGGAAGCTGGGAGGAAGTAGTCCCCTTTTCAAAAATCTCCTCTCACCCCGCCTCTGCCACTATTGGAATGGGCTGAGTACCAGCACTGAAGAGGCGCTATAGACACCGTGCTTGGCTGTGTCTAGGATTTTTAAACAAGTCAGAAGTTGGGAAATGTCTACACTGCCTCAGCTTAAAGCTCAGAACCGAAGTTTAGCATCTACACAGCGATGCCACGTGAGGCACTTCTCTCAGTTCCTGATGGGGAGCAATTGCAATGAGGAAGGCTTCTACCTAATGCTTACTTAGCGCAGACTGGACTGATGGGAAGACTGCTCCTACGGTAAAAACAATGCCCACCTTACTGGATGTTTTTGTTTTCAATCAACCAATGCTGTATCCCTCTGGATCTCATCACAACCCATAAGGAAAATCCTATGATTTTGAATTAACAAGTGAGTAAATATGGCTTGTTAATGTCTGCCAAAGAAGCCAAGATGACACATTAAATTGACACCAAAGTTCAGTAATGATGCTGACTACAGTGTCTCCAGGCAGCCCTTTGCCTTCTCAGTACAATCAGGTGTGCATACAAGAGCAAAACACATTAATGTCCCTCATTATGTGCAAGCTGGGGAGAAAAGAGAAAGTCATCAGGAAAAGATGTCTGCAACTGACCCAAACTTGAATTAATGACCATACCTTCCTCATAGGGAGTCTGGAGAGCACAGTCTAGTTAAAGGCCCAGGTCAACCAAGAATCTGCACATCTAGGCACAGCAGTTTACTGTAGACTTAGGGAAGTCAATAGCCTTATCTTGTAACGCACAGCTGGAAACTGCTCTCCATCCTTGCTAACCCCTTTGCTTATCTGACTATGTTGCTGCCTACCAAAGCAAGATACAGAAACTAACAAGGTGGCTCAGGGGCAACTCACAAGAGAGCTTTAGAACCACAGCTTTTCAACATTTCCTCTTCCCCTGCTAGCTGGATGGATAATTGCACCAGTCTTGGTCTCAGAAAATTTTGATTAAATAAGTAAGTTGCGTTTGATAGACACTCTGTGTGGATTTTTGTGACTCCATACCTCAGGACTGTTGATCCCACTGAATGAGAATAAGACCAGAACCATTCAAAAAAACTAAATTAGAAGCAAGCTTTAATTGAACACTGGCCAGGTAGATGGTTTCTAGCCAGGTCCAGACCCAAATTCCCAGGAAATGGCTCCAAGTCACAGTTTGCAGTGGCTTAAGAAGGAAAACCCATAATTCACTACATTTCCCATCAGGTCCAATCAGGGGCAAGCATATATCCTTATATTTTAGGTTGTGAGCCTAGCCTTTAATGGCTGAGCCATCTCTCCAGCCCCTGACGTACCTACAGCCTCCATCCAGTCAGGGGCAAGGATACATCCTGACATATTTCCTGCCTGTGAACCTCCCACCCACAAGTGCACATCTGGTGCAGATGGATCAAGAAAACTTGTTTAGGGGAGTGAAAACATGTGGCTTGTTATCTCCCACAAACGACAGCCTCCAGAATTTCAGAAACTGTCCGTGAGCAAGGGCCTTACAGACCAGAGGCATTTTTGTTTCATGGATCTCTAAGGCACAGTAATTGAAAGTTAAATGTAACTGTGGCTCTCACAGCACCCAGTGGAACAGTTTAAAAACTATGAGGTAACTCAAAAGAACTGTGTGGATTTAGAATTAGATGTTAGCACCCACACTTCCCTGGATACCCTAAACTTCAGTGGCCCATCACAGCTCGATTACTACACACCTTACCACTTACTAAGCTCATGCTCTACTGGCCAATTCAAATAATGTTGTTTGGATCACTGATAAGGTCGTAGAAGTAGGCAGGGGTAGGAATTCCACAGGAGGATACACATTACATGGCCTTTGTTGTTTTCAGACCAATATCTCAAAAAAGAAAAAACCCACAGAAAAAACAACCATCTGTAATCTCATTCTGCCACAGATACTTTCTCTAGAATTCTGTTATGCATAAACACGGACCCTGAAATGCCTCTTTGGGTGTTATGTGATAGCAACAAAATAGTCTGGCATGCTCCCTGAAAATATCCATCCATGCTTCTACTCTTCTTGCTCCAACACTGGATGTAAAACATCAGCCATTTCCTGACACAAAGTCTACATGGAGCCCAACATGAACATGGATTCTAACAAAAATCTTGTTAGCTTCCTAAATCATGCATGTCTTTATTATCAAAGCAGAAGCAGCTAGCCCTCTTTAAGTTTCCTTTTCACTGCGCTGGAATCTTGCCAGTTTCCCTTAGGTCATGAAGGGTGTGGAAAACTGCCTAGTAATCTTCCTGTACATGAATACCTTGTTTATTTGAGAACCAACCCCTAGAACCCCATTGAATTTGGAAGAGCCTCTTGGCCTGAATCAAAGTACTAAGGAGCTGTCTCCCAGCAACATGAGGTAAAGACTTTCTCTGCTTTGCTAAACTGATTTCTGCATGTGTTGACATTCTAAAATGTAGAGCCTTTAATGACTGGTTCCTAGGTATGCTTCCTCCTGATGAAGTCATCCTGCTCATGGTCCTGACACTAATAGGTCTCAGTCTGGTCACTGGGGAAGGTTTTGGGTAAGAGGCTAACAACAGTGATAGCATGGTAACCATAAGGCCTTGGGGGACATGGGGAGGGAGATTCAGTAGATCTGGAATGGTCTTTAGCTGTAGCTCTTAGGAGAGGCTTCTTAAGAGCCTTGGTGGAAAACTCAACCACCATCAGTTTAAAGGCCAGCTTGATGGAAACTCACAAAAGAGTATCAAGACCTTGCCTTTTCCCAGTACCCCAGTTTCTGAGTGGTGCAACCAAGTGACTGAATCCGCAAGAAAGTGAAAACATCAAGGAGATCCAAGGGGTCAGCTCTCCCACGTGTGGGAGATAAAGAGAGAATGGAAGTGGTCCAGAAAGGTGAGGGGAGTTTCCCACCTGTGGCAGCCTGCTTGGTAAAGGCAGCATTGCTCTTAAGGGAATAAATAAGAAAGCCTTTTTTATTCCAGAAGAGAGGCCATTTAGTAGGACATTTTACCACAGTGACAATTTCCCAGGAGGACACTTACAGACTGCCCATGAAAGGACAGAGACCTGAGTCAGAGCGAAGACTGGCAATGGACAGATGAGAATGGTGACATCAGAACAGTGGGGGAAGGAGAGGAAGCAGGTTTTAACTTGATAATTTGATTGAATCCTGGTAGAAAGAAGAAGCTAATTTTAAAGGTGGACATTTTTTCTTGTTTTTAGTGATAGCCAGTCATATATATATATATCTCACATAAACTCATATAGTGTATGTGTATTTGCCTGCATGAGTTTATGTGTATGACATGCCTGCAGATGCCCATAGAGGCCAGAGGGCATCAGAGTCCCTGGAACCGAGTTACAGACAGTTGTAAGCTACCTGATGTAGTTGCTGGGAACTGAACCAGGTCCTCAGTAAGAGCAGTAAGTGTTATTAATTACTGAACCATCTCTCTAGTCCCCTAGGTCAGCATTTTATGGTTACAATAAAACTGTGTGTCGGTACTTGAAATGTTGTTTTTCACTACATCGGCTATGCTCAGATTAAGCTTATATGACTACTGGTGTCAGTATCAGCTGGGTACTTACTGGAAACACAAATTCCCAGAAACCACCCCAGAAGTGGTCACTCAGAAACTCTAGAGTAGGCTAAGCAATCTGGATATCTGAGATGTCTGAATATCTGAGATGTTCAGTGTACAACTGAAACATCAGACTCTGAAAATTCTGAATCTTCAGCTTTGGATGCTCTCCTTCTAGGAAAATGCACCACTTTCTTTTCTGGTTTGGTTAGAATTAGTAAACCACAGGAAACATTTTCACTCTAAACCATTCTGGCTAGTTTTCTGAGTCTATCTAATATTGCAGTTGGTTGGGGAGAGAGAACCCACAGTAAAATGGGCCACTTGCCAGAATTCCTCCACCAGCAAATGTCTATACTTGATTTGAGAAGAAATAGCATATTAGTGACTACAAAGAAAATAGTTTTAATCTAAGACTGTATGTTGGCCACATAAAAATACCGTTGGTCCCAATAGTACAGGGACAGAAGTAGGGTGAGCTCTCCATTCATGCATTTTTCACTGACCAAAATATCTGAGGGAAAGAAGCCAGCCTGACAATTGTGACAAGCTCCAGCTACCACATGCAAAGTGGTACACAGGTCCCCACCCACTTATATAGTCCTTGTAGCAATCCTCAGCTAATGGAGGGCTCAGCTCCCACTTGGACTGTGGACCCCTGTGATGACACTCTGCTCCATAGTCATCCCAGGACCAAAGCCAAGAGAAAAACAAGCAATATCGCAGTGGTAAGCACCAAATAAGAAAGGAAAGCAATTATCTTCTAGCAGGAGACAGAAGACCCCATGTGACAGCTCACTCGGTGCTCTTCAAGTTCCGCAGGCTCAAGGAGGGCAGAAACCTGCTATGCTTTCACATTGCAAACTGCCCTTCATTTGAAGGGTAGTCTCTATTTATCATTAATGTACTAACTGGGCCAGAGTTCGGGTACCTGAGATTGGGCCACATATTTAGAAAGCATGGAGGATTCATCCACAAACGTTGTGGCATCTCTAGAGTAACAGGCATCTATGTGTATATCTTCCCTGGGTAGGTGTCTGTTATCATTGTCATGGGCAGTGTTGAGCACAAATGAGGCATTTGGATTAAAAGCTTTTCCTAATGATATCTGCTTCTGGGTGTAGGGGCAACTTTTTCAATCATCAAAGAAATATTTTCCTCCTTAGTGCTCTTACAGAGAGAACATCATAGAAAGAAAAAATATTAGAACAGAAATTCTTGGTCACACAGATCCCGAACTACTGTATGCTTCCCTCTGGGAGGTGAGAAATAATTTAGTTGTTGAGATGGTGATTAACCATCCTTCACTCAGCTGCAGAATCACCTGAGCTTGGCACCAAGCGATTTATAAAAATGGGGGTTACATTTGACCTTGCCATGTTAGTGTTATTCTGGGACTTTGTACATTCACATAGGAGGGAGGAGGAAGAGGCCACAGTACCTTCTCCACTCCAGTTAGGCATTTAGGAAAGCCATCCACTGAAACCATTTCTGGTTCTCAGAGTTAACTCGGAAGCTTTCCTGCGAGGTGGGAGATAAAAGTGAACTTACATGTTGAAAATAAATAGGGAATGGGGTAAGGAACCATATCTGTGAGTCCCCCTCCCAACCTTTTTTCCTGAAAGTCCCAGTGCCTATACCGTGAAGTCTGAAGGAAGCAGAACAGACGAGTGCCTTATAGTGTTAAGACTGACGCTAAAATTATATTAGTTAAAAATCATTGTATTAATTCCTTGAAAATGTTATTTTGACAAATTCACCCAACTCTTCTATCTCCTCCCATGACCCCCCCCACTTCCTTGCCCTTCAACTCTGTGTCCTATTTTTTTAATCTAGAAACCCATGGACTCTAATTTGTGCTGTTCATATACTTCTGAGTATGGGGCCACCCATAGGAGCGTGGTTAGTTTATCAAGAGTCACATACTTAAAGAAGTAAAAATACTGACTCCACTCCAGAAACCATTGACTTCTCTCTGGTCTTCAGGAGTGAGAGCACATGAGCCTACTCCTACTCCAGGTTAGACTGATGTGGTGCAGGTCTTGTTTGGGCAGCCATAGCTGAGTTCTTGACAGCAGTGGTCCTGTGGTATTCACACACTATTTTGCTCCAATCCTTCAAAACCTTTGGCTCTGATCTTTTTACCCCTGCTTTTGAGATACCCACTGAGTGATATAGATCTCGTAGTTATGGCCGAACACCCCAATGATACTTGTTTTTTGTACTTTGACCAGCTATGAATTTCTATATCAATAACTGTTCACTGTACGAAGGAACTATTCCAATGAGGTCTGAGAGTTGCACAAATCTATGGGTGGAAAGATGTGAATGGCAACTACTAACTGTGTAATTCTGGTTCCAAAGGACTTGATCCCTTTTTCAGACTGCCATAGACACCATGCAAGCATGTGGTACACATATGTACATGCATGCAAAACTATCTTATGCACAAAATAAAATAAATTATTAGATGAAATTTGATATTATGTCCATTTGGCAAAAATAGTAGTAGTAGGGCCACCCTTGGGACCTGTAAGTTCCCCAACCATGGGTTCTTGGCCAGAGTTGCAGGACCAGACGGGTTTCCTCCTTTGAACTGAACCTCAGTTCCAATTAGAAAGTGGTCATTTGTTTCATGGCATTCATGTCACTGTGGTGTCAGTAACCACATCTTGCCATGCTGGTCATTATTGCAGTTCACAGGGTTCACATCTGAGTAAGATTTTTTATAAACTCCTCCACCCCAGTATCTTCCAGTACTGTGAGAACTAGTCAGGGGGTTGGGGGCAATCTCCTGGTTAGCACCAACTTGATTTCCCCACATTCTATGGCTGATGTGTGGGATGATTTCAGCAATAGAGTCCTATCATCAGGTAACAGTGGACAATCATGAATAATGACAATACCCTGTATCATCTTGGGGGTCTCTAAAACACCTCTGACCAATAGCATGAAGGGCAGTGTTACCCTCCTAGCTCATACCTTTTTATTTGGCAATTGATGGCACATAATACATTTCTCTTGCATAGGGTAAATCCAATAAACACATTCTCTCTCTCTCTCTCTCTCTCTCTCTCTCACACACACACACACACACACACACACACACACTGTTTCTTTTTGCTTCAGCAGCCATTGACTACCTCTATTTCTTCATCTAGAAGTGGAGCCTTGTGAAATTTTTCCCATCTCTGTAGTCATGTCAACTGATGAAATCATTATGCAAGTTACATTTATGCAAGCATGTTGTTGAGATTGCATAGGCACAGCATCCTTGTCAAAACTAGAAAACACCCTCTCACAACAGGTCTCCTGGTCCTCTGGTTCTTAGAATCTTTCAGACGACTATTCCTCGATATTTTCTGAATCTTAGGTATCATAGGTATCATAGTTCTCTTGGAGGCAGAAACTGAAGCAGAAGCCATGGAGGAGTGCTGCTTACAGGTTTGCCCTGCATGGCTTTCTTAGTCTGATTGCTTATACAACTCCCAACAATCTACCCAGGGATGACACCACCCATAATAGGTTGGTCCCTCCCACATCAATGACCAACTAAGAAAATGCCTCACACGCTTGCCAATCTTAATGGAAACATTTTCTCAATCCACAATCCCACTTCCTCAATGACTCTAGTTTTTTTTTTTTATGTCAAGATAGTGTAAAACTAACCAACACAGCAGTTACATTCTACTGGCATTCATGAAATTATTATTGTGATAGAACTTTAGACCTTTTGGAATCAAGTACTAGTACCACTAAGTGAGTTGAGTTTTTCAAATTGTTATGTAAAATTACTCCCTAAGATAAGCGATTAGGTAAATACAAGGAAGGAATGAAAACTGGCAGCAGAGATATTGGGAGGGCGGGTGCTTGGTGACTTAATTGCTGGCTTGATTTTCAGTACCCAGAGTGTTTAAGTGTAAAAGGTATCAGTAACTGAGGTCTGTTTTTACAGTGAAGAGTCTCATAGAAATCCCATGCTGGAAAATCTGCTTCAGCTGAGATGTCACTTTACTTGGGAGTTGCTTATAGAAGATGCGGATATGCCTGACTTAGAAATGAGAATTTCCGATACTGAGTTACCTGATACCGAGAACAGCATGGGGATGCACAACCTGCTGGCCTACGTGAGGCACCTGAAAGGCCAGCATGAGGAAGCCCTGCAGAGCTTGAAAGAAGCAGAAGCCTTGACCCAGAGGGAGAAGCTGGACAAGAGAAGCCTGGTGACCTGGGGCAACTGTGCCTGGGTGCATTACCACAGGGACAGCTTGGCAGATGCCCAGACCTACCTGGACAAGGTGGAGAACACTTGCAAGGAATTTGCAAGCCCCTTCCGCTACAGGATGGAGTGTGCCGAGGTGGACTGTGAGGAAGGCTGGGCCTTGCTGAAGTGTGGAAGACAGAATTATAGACGAGCCATGGCCTGCTTTGCAAAGGCTCTGAAAGTGGATCCTGAAAACCCTGAATACAACACTGGCTATGCCATCGCAGCCTATCGCCAGGATTTCAATGACAATAGTATTTCTCTGGAACCCCTAAGGAAGGCTGTCAGGTTAAATCCAGAAGAGCCATATCTTAAAGTTCTCCTCGCCCTAAAGCTTCAGAACTTGGGAAAACCAGATGAAGCAAGAATGTACATTCAAGAAGCTCAGGCCAACACATTCTGCCAGGCCTATGTCTTTGGATATCTCGCCAAATTTTACCTAAGAGAAGATTTTGTGGAGAGAGCTCTCCATCTCCTATACAGAGCCTTGCAGGTGAAACCTTTCTCAGCCTTCTTGCATTACCAGATTGGGATTTGCTACAAGAGGCAAATGATCCAAATAAAGGAAGCAGCAAACATGCAACCTAGAGGTCAGGATAGAGAAAGAGCAGACCGGTTGATCCGTTTGGCTATGCTTCAATTTCAAAAGACTTTAGAATTGAGACCCACATTTGAGACAGCTTATGTTAATCTTGCTGAAATGTATGCAGAAGCTGGCCAGTTTGGAGAGGCAGAGGACAATTTTCAGAAAGCGTTGAGCATAAGGAACCTTGATATTATTATCCAACAAGACATTCATTTCCGCTATGGCCGTTTCCAACAATTTCATAAGCGATCAGAAGACAGAGCAATCACCCATTATATAAAGGGTCTGAAAATAGAAGGGACTTCTTCCTATGCCAGAAACAAGCTTCTCGAGGCTTTGCAGAGACTGGCTGAAAGACGCCTTCGCCAGAATGTTCGAGTTGTGGAGAGCATCAGCCTCCTTGGGTTTGTCTACAGACTGAGAGGAGACACGAGGGAGGCTCTGCAGTGTTATGAGAAGGCCCTGAGACTCACTAAAGCATTGAACCCTGAGTTTTGAGGCACAGCTCATCAAGTGACATAGTAAGCATTCTAAGGGCTCATTATTCTACTACTCTTTTGTGACTGTTGCCTTAAGTATGAGGAACCAGATGAAAGTTAGAGATGACTCCTTCTCTGTAGTCTGCCTTTCTACAGCCATGGTTTTGTTTTGTCTTGTTTGTTTGGCTGGTAGTTTTGTTTTTCTTGGATCTGTGTGTCTATGATAGGAGCTTCCATTCTCTTATTACACTTTGTTGTACTCATCAATCATGGTTGACTCCTGATGTTCTAGCCGCTTGTGAGCTGCCTTTGGGGTGCATGAACTACACTCTCAGTCCTATGGTACCCTGATCAAAGTACATTTTCCTAAAGAAGGCTTACTTTTTATGCTTCAGGAATCTCTGGCCTTCGGCAATACATGAGAGAAAATTAAATGAACAAGGATGAGCAATCAAAAAGAGAGGAATTCAGGATTCCCCTACAACATTCCAGTCCATACTTCCATTGCCACAGGTCCTACAAAATCCATAACCTGCTGGTCAACAAGCTCAACCTTATAATAAGTGCAACTACTTATATCAAGTTTCTGATCTCAGACAATTGTGGTAAATGTGGGTAGCCCAAATACAAGGATATTTATTTACAGCTAACAAAACTTTCAAAGTTTTCGGGGATGACAGAGTAAGAGGGTAGCCTCTTTGGAATGTACAAACTAAAAATAGCATAAATAGCTTCATGACACTGCTTAGATTATTGAGAATTGTGTGATATTATATTTTTAATTTTTAGCATATAGTATTCAATAAAATCTGCCAATATTACAGAATTTTGAGTGTATTTTGTTTGTGACATTGTGATCCAAATTCTATGTTCGTATGGAATCAGAACACACAAGAATCAACCTATATAGGGTTAGGAGGGTCAAAGCAAAGAAGCTTTGGGAATATAGACACTACTGAATCTTAAAGAATATAGGGGAAAAGAGGGTAAAATGTCAGAATGATGTTGAAAAATTCATAAGGAATCATACCATTAACTGCCTAAAATGCTTTTAGTGCATGTAAGTCAATATATATATGGAGAGAGAGAGAGAGAGAGAGAGAGAGAGAGAGAGAGAGAGAGAGAGTTTAAATGAAAATTTCCCATTTGGGCCAATAACGTTCCCCCCAAGAGCCATAGATAAACAAAAATCCCAATACCAGGCATGAGAAGCCCCCTTCTGAGTTGTTGGTCAGAGTTGTCTAAATGACTCCCGAACATTGTAGGGCTATAGCTACTGCAACTGGTTGCCCCCTGAAAGTGCATGCTAAAGACACCATGCACTTTGGACTTAGGGCCCAACAGAGCCAAAGCAGATCTCACCTGAGAGCCTCCTATCTGAGGTCTAATTTTCATGTTATCAGAAGGTGCCATGCAAGTTAACAAAGTAGGGAAGCAATCAATAGTGATTCCAAGCTACCACCAGCGTGGCACTAAGATAGTCCTAAGGATGCAAGAGTGACACACATACCTTGTGGTAACTAATAGTTCTCTAATTGGGCATAAGACTTGCTCAACAAGAGGGAAGTCATGCTTGGTTCTAGAAACCTATCCAACTGTCTAGGACAAGTGAAATCATGAATCTTAGAAGAGACTCACAAATATTACTTTACTGAACCAGTGTAATTCCTAAAACATTATCCTGTACTCACAGATGAGTGAACTATTTATTCCCTCAGCCAGAAAACTGTTTGTAACAGAGACCATTATAGAAAACTACAATCAATGAAAATGCAGTTATCAAGCCAAGTCTCAACATAACACTTCTCTATCACAACTTCTGCACCAGAGGCTCAGGGATCACTGCAGAAGAGACAGTGGAAAAAATTTTAAAAGGCAAAGGGACAGGAAGTTGACATGAGATTGTGTCTCCTATAAATGTTAGAGACACCGTGCTTACAAAGTCTCACCAATATAACTGCCTAAACATGGACATGAGCTGAACAAGGACACCAATAGGCATGCTAATGTGGAAGTGAGAAAGCTTAGGAGGCCTCAACCCTATGCAACTAGGCAACTAGGAGCATTGAGAATGGAAGAAACAGCCTTCTCCAGGAAGAGCACACCAACTGGTTATCCAATACCAAATGGTTAGCCCTGAAAACATACACATGCATGTAACATTATACAGACTGAGCGCACCACACACACACACACACACACGCACGCACGCACACACACACGCACACACGTGCGCACAAGCACACACACACAAATGTACTCACACATGCAAGCATGCACGTGCACACACACAGTGAGGAGGGAGGGAGGAGAGGCAGGGAAGGAGAGAAGAAGAGAGACCTACAGAGCAAGAGCAAAAGAGACCTTACCAAAAAAAAAAGACTTGCTGAAAAACTGGTAAAAGAACTCTCAAGCTAAACTCTGCTGTCCTTTTAATTCAATGCTAAGCAAACAAAGTGGCTCTTGTTATATGCTACAGGTTTGAGACAGTTTGCTTATATCTTGATAGATTAACTGTCTCAAACTGTCTTTATTACCCTCTGCCAATATGTGTTGTGGGGACATGACAATTACTGCTGGGTCTTCTTTAGCTACAGGAAATTCATACTAAGAAAAAAACTAGAGGTAATAGTAATTTGAACCCTGTACTCTCAGATGTGCAATCTCACTTCTGAAATCATGCTTGTTTTTAAGTGGTTGGTTTCCAGTATTTTTCAAAAGAAAAGTTTAGGAGCTAGTAGCAATTGTTACTAGTTAACAATTGATCAGCACTCTCCCTTTCATACACACTCCTATGTTTGCTTGGTGTGGCTGTTTTAACTTCCCTCAGCCCATCTTATAAGACCTTAGACTGATGATCTGTTGTATTTCTGAGTGATGTGTGCCGTTTTATAGAGTATTTCATTAGAATTATGAACTAACTGATGACAAATAGGATACTTGACAAGGGAATCCTTGACTGCTAGGTAAATTTATTCATTATGCTATTGTCCCTTATATTAGACTCTTACTTTAAATTAAAAAAGATTGAGTTGCAATTAAAATTATATGTATATGCTGTAACATGGTATTCTGATACACATACAAGTTATGGAATGGCTGCATCATCTGTTAACATAAATCACCTTGAGTACTTATCTTTTATAGTAACAACTCTCAAAATCTACTCTTTCAAATATTTTTGATATTATTGTCATCATCTTCATGGGTTTCATTGTCCTCTCTCTGTAATTAATATTTTTTAAGATAGGGTCTTAATGTGTTGTTCAGGCTGGGCTAAAACATGCCATGCAGTCTAGGCTGGCCTGGAACTTTCCATCTCCCAGCAGGTGCAGAAGTGTGTTTTCATACCTGGCTGATTGCTTTTTAAATATAGAATTTTGTAAGTCTCAAATACCTAGAAGGATCAAGTTTTTGATATGTGTATTTTTGTGTCTACCAGAAGACTGTTTTGTATGGGGTTTTTGTTCAGTTCTGGATTCAGAGAGACAGATTTGTATGTGGTCATGGCATCCCCACCACTTACATAGCTCCTAACACGTGTCCAGTTACTGAACTAACTAGAAACTCATTTCAAATATTTTTTTTCTGGAATTTTGTTCCACATCTGGGGGAAAGAAATTTATTCAAACACCAGTCTCATTTATATGTTATTTCTTTTTCCTGTATAACCTGTGGCTATACATTATACTCATTAATGAATTTAAGGGAGACTCCAGAGCTGAGCTTGGGGCTACATACCTGAAATCCCAGAACTAGGGAGGCTGCAGCCAGAGAACGGTGAATATGAGACAAGCTTTGGCTACACAGAGAATTCCAGGCCAACCTGGGCTACACAGGGAAATCCCGTCTGAAAACAGCAGCAGCAATACAGTTCGCAAAGGAAGAGTATGGGGAGTTGGAAGGCGCTTCTGATGGCTGAGTGAAATGAAGCTCTCAGTGCCAGATGCTGACAAGCTTGAATGACCCATTGCCACCCCTATGGACTTAGGCTAGTCTAGTACCAGTGCCCTCACACACCAATGGGAGGGCATTCATTCGGGTATATCTGGGCCCCCAAAAGCGGGGCCAAAGAATCATCTGTTGTGTGCAGACCTCAGCTGGATCTTGTAAACTGGGAAGAGAGTGACAGCTCCTAGATACACTAGCTGGATTGACTCAGTGTCAAGATGGATATTCAGAGAGATGTGCATTGGGCAGCATGTTATGTGTTCACAATTCTCCATCATCCTAGTGGAAGAAAAACTTTTAAAGTCTTTAAAATTTCATACATGTATAGAATACGTCTTGATCATACCTATCCCCATCAACTCCCTCTCTATACTCCTACTACTCCCCAACATGCTTCGCTTTCAACTTCTTGTCCTCGCTTTTTCTTAAATAACTGTAGGGAGAGACCTTACATATCTGTAGTGCTGACCACGCCCGTTTGGGCATGGTCACAGGTTTGTAGACCGTACTGGGGATAAAAGAGCTGAGGGGAAGAAGACACGTGCTCTTTGGGTTCTGGTCGAGTCTTGGAGAACAGCAAGTGGACCTTTGGCTTTTAGCTTTCTTGGCTTCTCATGTAAGTGACTTCTCCCTCAATAAAATATCACAGGACATCCCTACTTTGTGTAGATTAATATTTCCACAATAAATGATTGCCACCTGCTCCTCAGAAAGGGGTGTAGCTCTCATAAACCGCCCCCAGTCTTCAGAGAAGAAACTTTGAGGCTTAACATTACTGTCTTAATTCCCTGTCCCCTACACCACACACAACTGTCTGTATCCTGAGTTGAAACTTCGATTTATTATAGCATTCCAGTTTGTCATACACAGTTAGCATGGGATATTGTCAGGAATACACACAAACTCAAGCCTGAATTAAAAAATAAGGAGCAAAGAATATTCTAGGGTTAGGCAAAAGCTAATCTTTCAGGTTTGGCTGGCTACACTGAAAGGGAATGAAGAAATAAGACTAATTTTTGCTGGCAGTTGCCATACATGACAGGACAAAAATAGTGATTAAAAAGTGCTATGTGAGCCTGGGGTCCTGTTTCCCTGGGTGATCCGTGATAAGACCTGTTGGCTGGGAAATTATACAGCTAGGATGGACAGGGGAGTCAGGAAGAGAAAGTGGTTCTTTAAAAATGTTTGTAGCACAATTAAGCAAGAGAAGCCTGTTCATCAACACTTGACAGGAGGATTTCTGCCTCTCCACACCCGGTAGGCACCATTCCGCAACACACTTCTCTCAGGCAGTGCAGAGTCGAGCACCTGCACTCTGGCACACTTCCTGTTGTCCTCAGGCTCAGATGCTGTCAAGAAAAGGCTGCTTGAGCCCCCAAGGAGTGTCCCCCCACTCAGTTTCTGATTTATTCCCCGGAGAGGTCAAGAATCCAGCGCATTTTGCCACTACAGGTTTTCATCCGCGACCTATGCTTGCTGTTTCATCTCTTCTGTCTCAATGCATGTTGTTTCTGTGAGACTGCAGGAACGCAGGAAAGCCTTCAGGGCTGCGAGCCCTTCAGACTGCCGGTGATATTCCTGGAGGTCACAATAGCGCTGGTAGAGTTGTTGTTCCTCAGCACCGGGGCTCTCCGTGCTGAAGACCAACTGACAGCATCGTTCTACTTCTGGGTAATCCATGAGATCTGAGTAGGAATTCAGAGGACTTCGCTTCCTCTGCAGAGCCTGATGCATGTACTCCATTGTTAATCTCCTGAGTCCTTCCATCTTCTCTACGCTGGCACTGGTTTCAGCATTTCCTGTTTTCTGCAGTTGCTCCAGCTCTTTCCTGTAACGGCACATGACCAAGCAGTAGAGGGGAGCGTTGTTTGCTGTGGATCTCAGTGCTCTTACAAGAAAGTTGTTAGCTCTATCTAGGTTACCCTTTTTCTGGTAAAACTGGGCTGCCTTTTGCAGTACATCTGTTTGATCGGGAGCTCTTCTCAGGGTGTCTTCAATCAACTGCTCTCCTTCAGTTTCTTCTCCCATTTTCTGCAGTTTCAGGGCCAAGAGAACTTTAACATACTCATTCTTAGAATTCAGCTCCATGGCCTGCTTCAGAGCATCCACAGAGAACTGCTTCTCTGGTTGCTCGTCTAGACGGCTCGTGGCAATTGCAAGCCCAGACGAACATTCTGGATCACTAGGCTTCTCTTCTAGGGCCTTTAAGAAACACATTTTAGCCCTTTCGTTCCTTCCACACTTTAGGCGTGTCCACCCTTCCTCACAGTCAAGTTCTGGACACTCCATGCTGTAAGGGTTTGCATACTTCTTGCACACATGCCTCACCTTGTCCACATAAGCCTGAGCTTCTGAGAACTGGCCCATGTGATAGTAGATCCAGGCATAGTTCCCCCAGGTGACCAGACGTCTAATTTCTGCTTCATCATCCTGTTTTGGCTCCAATGAGTCTTCCGCTTGCCTTAAGCACTCCAGGGCTGCCTCGTTTTCACCATCTAGGTATTTGACATAGGCCAACAAGTTGTACATTGTGGCTTTGTACTCGGAGTTTAAAAGCTCAATCTGGTTACACACTCTATCTTCCATATGATTTGAGATACTTCCTTCCCTGAATAAGTTCCAGGTGAAATGGCATTTCAGTTTTGGGAGAACTTTTTCCAGAGCATTCCTGGTGAACTCACTGTGGAGGAAACACACATGGTCACTTTGATGAGTCCCGCACATCTTGTGTATCCCATGATGGTTCATTGTACATGTTAGCTTGACTGAAAATGATTTATCATGTGGATGTTGGACTCCAGGCTGTATTTGCTTTCTGGCTACACTTTCCAACTGCTAGTTTCTCAAACACCCATTCAAGATTTGCTTCTGTCCTTTGTGCTCTTCCCACACGCCACCTCATTCTGTCGTCCCTGTGCACAGTCTCACACATCTGATGCAAGCAGCATTCTTTACAGTTAAGGAATGGGAGACATGGCTCCTATTTCAGTGTGTATATGAAAAAACCTGTGGTCCTTTTAAAATAGTCCCATCCCATGGCCCTCTCCTCTCAACCTTATCTCTGATCTACTCATTCAATAGTTTAGATATCCCTGCAATTTGCATTTTAATCACACAAAAGTCAATTATGATTCAGAGCACAAGCATAGTACAATTTCAGAGACTGTAATACTTTATCTCTGTTCCTAGTTTACAGGGTAGAGGGTACTTAGCAGGCCACTAAGACAATGGTCCTGATAACATGCTCCCTAATTATGATAAAACAAAACTCAAAACCGAGTACGGCAGTCTACACCTTCAATCCCAGTACTCAGGAGGAAGAAGTAGACTGATCTCTATGAGTTTGAGGCAAGCCAGGGTGACAAAATTAGAGTCTGTCTCAACAACAACAAAACATAAGATAAAATAAAAAAATAAATTCAAATTCTAAGTGACATAATCACATACTGGAGTTTTAGATTACAGAATAAATAATGAACACACTTGAGAAAGAGTCGGGATGCTGATAAGATAATCACAAAACAGAAATCCACAAATTCTGGGTTAGTCTTTTTTAAATATAAGAAATTATGATGGAACTAGAACCTCAGGGGCTGCCTCTTGGCTCTCAGATTTCATGGGCCAGATTGTTCTGAAAGAGGCTTGACTCATATATCTTCCCTGTCTTCAGTTCTCACCTGCTTCTGTCCTTCCTCGGATTAGCTGTGAAGAAGAAAGATGCTGTGATAGTTTTCACTGTCAATCTGTTGAGATTTGTAATTGCCATAGAAACACACCTTTGGGTATATCTGGAAAGCTGTTTCTGGAAATATTTAACTTGGCAATGAAAACTCACCCTAAGTGTGGGAGGCACCACCCTACTGGGTCTGGGTCCAAAACAAAGAGAAAGCAAGCTGGGGGCCAGCAGTCATGTGTCTCTGCTTCCTGACTATGCACAGTGTGACCAGCTTATGCTGTTGCTGCCTTAACTTCTCTGCAAAGACTGCACCCCCATACAAATTACCCTTTGCTTCCTGAAGTCATTTTCATCAAGTATTTTGTCACAGTATACCAAGCAAAGTAACTAATACAGAGACACAGGCATAATACCCAAATTGGTGAGACAGGTTATGAGAAATCTGAACAAATGCACATTTAATCTCTGGACACTAAAAGATCCTAACAAGGAAATCTGTACATAGAACAAGAACTTTTCATGAGACTTTGCCTCCCACAAAGTCTACCCAGAAGGTTCCAGGTACCTTTCCAGGTCCTTTGTTTACCCCGTTTTACGATATTTATCATGACTGGGAAGAGCCGCTCAAACTGCCTCTGTCCTCACAGAATGCTATGATATAGCATAGTCTAAAGGGTCCTCCTCAGACCTGCTTAGATTGGTAACTCAAGACATACCCAAAGATGAAACACAGCAAAGCATCTTGTTCAGGCTAGCCACTAAGGTTCTGCCAGGCAGGTCTTGGCTTTCTAGCCAACCATACTCACCACTAACACCAGTCTTCTCCCAGGGCCATTACGTAGGAAGGAGTAACCCAGAGTAGTTAGAATTGAAATCCCAACTCTGACCTTGGTAAATATTTGTAACCCTTTGGTCTGAGGGCAAGGATGACTGTCTTTTTTTCTTTCTCTCTCAGAGTAGTTAATAGCATCTGCCTTCCATGGATCATTGATGCCTTGATCATTCCCTGATAGGTATTTGATGAGAAAGGTCCACCAATGACAGACTCTCCGCAGGTGAAGCTACATTTAAGAAATTCACATCTACTATGATTTTTCTTTACTTATCATAATATGCACTTATTTTAAGGGTATTGTTTGCTGAGTCTCAACAAATGTTTATGCCTATGTACCTATAGTTTATGCCTAGAGTCCCTATAGGTTACTTCTGATATTCCATATTCTATCCTTATTGCATGTAGACATCCATTGTTCTATTTCCTATAACTAGAAATTAGGCTTCCTAGCAGCATTTCACAGTAGTAAAATGAAACTTTAAACATTGAGACTGGCTTCATGTAACAAATGAAAAAAAATACAAAAACAAAAAACATGCTTATCTCTAAGCATCGTTTCCTCTACCTCAACCCTGAATTTCAGCAACTTGACTTGAGTTTGCAGTACTGATCCCAGCTCTTACTGCTGGAGAAGGGATGCTTCCTTTGACCACACACACACACACACACACACACACACACACACAGAGAGAGAGAGAGAGAGAGAGAGAGAGAGAGCTCCCAGTGACTTGTTCACTTTGAATAAAACAAAATCAAAGTCCAGTTAGAGTAATTCCATTAGTACTAGCTTTGAGTCAAATTTTGAGCCTAAATGGATCTAACTGTGCCTGTAAAGCCTCTGTCTTAGCTTAGGAATTAGTGCCACCCAGTGAGCAGCTTTAGAAGCTGCTGGATCCTGCACACGCCCACAGAGAAACAAAAATCAAAGGAAAAACTCAACAAAAGCCATGCAAATTCAGTTATGTTGAATCTGTAAGCAACCAGACAACTTAAGAAACTTCCATGTAGAGAGTAGCTCCATGTATCATCTACAGAGGAGAACCGGAGTTTGCACTGACCTCATGATGGAAATCTGCTTCTCTGTTGCTCAGAAAAGTTGGGTGTGGACTGTACGGTTCAGGAGTCTCAGTTGGTATCAGGTGGACACTCAGGGAACTATATAAGAGAGGCAAGGGGGCGGTGGAGGGGGGAATGCACCAGCTGATGCTCTCCTGTTTCTAAGTTCTTGTGTTTGTTAAAGGGAAGAGGAAACTGGAAAGTGAAACTGACTTAAAATCAACCAGAAGGGGAAAAAGAAACTTAATGCTGAGATCGTTTACAACCCAACCACTTTCCCAGCCTAGAGCAGCACCAAGCAAAGACTCACTAGCAAAGCTAGCCTGACACATAGTGTTCATGAAAACAGAGTCCCATAAGATGTAGTTCAAATTCAGTCATTGCTGCTGTGTAGTAGGAAGATGACATGAACTTAGGTAGCTGTGAAATTCTGATTGGTTGTTTTACTTAGCAACTTGCTGCTATTCATGGTACAAGAGGTTAAGTGTACTCCTGTAAGACCCACTACATTAGCCCAAAGACTATACTTTGGAAGGCTTCACTTAGCAAAGGCACTAAAAGTATAACATTTTCAAAGGTCTCATTTAGTTCTGTTATTTAGAACTCAGTGCCTGATTTTGGCCTAGTGGGACTTTAAACCTTAAAACACCAAGCCAAAGAAGATGGGTGTGCGTCCTTTTCTTTCTTTGTGCTGATTGTACATTGAACATTTTCACGTTCTAAGCACGTTGATTTTAGAGATGTTGCTTAGGGGTGCAGAAAAGGTCTGAGCAACCGAAGGGGTTAAGTCAGGCAAAGGGCATGTAGACTCAGATGTTTCCTCTTCTCAGAATATAAAAGGTTCTGTTTGATTGGTTGTTTGCTTCATCAATCATTAACTGTTTTTTCTTTCTCTCGTGAATACACAGAAATCAAGAGAGGACAGTGTTCCCTGGAACTAGAGTTAAAGGTGGCAGAGCTGCTCAGCTTGGGTGCTGGGAAATAAACTCACATCCTCTATACCTGCAAGTCCTCTGGGCTGCTGAGACATCTTCCTAGTCCTATGGACAACCTTGCATAGCAAATATTTTCTACTACTGTAGAATTACGTCTCCATATTCTTGATTCTTGTTTTACTCTATATCCTGGCTCAAGAAGTACACTTGATTTTGTCATATGTTAGCAACAATTGCATGTGGCAAATACAAAACATTATTTGACATTAATCATTTTCCCCATTAGTGGAAAAAATATTGAAATTTGTTATAGTAAAATAAGAGTCTCCCCTTTAAGAAATGTGTAAAAGTAAAAAGTTGACTTCAAGCTAATCAAAACATTTAAAGTCAAAGATATCTGTAGAACTCTGCCTTTCTGAGAATCTTGCCTCAGCTTGGGTATCTTCTCAGCCCTCAGGTGGCTGTACTTGCTTTTCATTTCACATTATACACCCTCTTCCACGTGTTTAAAAGAAGATGAGTCACAGGATACATGATTATATGTTAGGCATTTTCATGGCATCTTAAATCTTGTTACAGAAAGCTCATCTCTTTAACATTAAGCTATAAACACAATTTCAAGCATTTGCCATTGCTTCAGAAATGCTTTTGGTCAAATGAAGAAAACAAATTACCTATCTTATACAGATAAGTGACATATCAGGGTATAGTAAAGATTTATCTTGCTCAATCAAGCACCCTGTTTTCTGAACTAAATATAGGAAACTAGCCTTTTCATTTAAGGCCCCATGTCACTCGATGCACAAAGTCACAGCATGAAGTCATGAACCAAAGATAACCAATAGATAACCTTTGTGACAGCAGGCACAAATCCATGGCCTCCCAGCATGGAAGAAGCCATTCTAGCCAAAGGAAGTTAAATTGGCATGTTGAAAAGTTAGCTTTCTGAACTCTCACATTCAGTGTAACAGTATTCAAAATAGTCAGGAACGGAAATATGGCAGTCTGAATATAATTGGTCCCCATAATCTCATAGGGAGTGTCACTATTAATAGGTGTGACCTTGTTGGAGGAAGTGTATCACTGTGGGGGTGGGCTTTGAGGCTTCCTATGCTCAGGATACTGCCAAGTTGTCTCAGTCAACTTCCTGTCGCCTGCAAGATGTAGGACTCTCGGTTTCAGCACCACATCTGCCTGCACACTGTCATGCTACCCTTCATGATGATAATGGACTGAACCTCTGAAACTGTAAGTGAACCACCCCAATTAAAAGTTTTACTTTATAAGAGTTGCCATGGTCATGGTGTCTCTTCACAGCAATAGAAACCCTAACTAAGACAGGAACCAACCTATGTGTCCATCAATGTATGAAGGGATAAAGAAAATACAGTGTGAATATAATATTTGTGTGTAAGCATGTGCACACATGTGTGTACACAATGGAATTCACAAACACACACATGTACACACACAGTAGGATTTATTAGCACACACACAAAACACACACACACATACACACAAACACATATCCACACAATGGAATACTCCCCAGTCTTTAAAAGGAGGAGATTCTGAGATTTTAAGCAATGTGAACATGTCTGAAGAATGTCATAGAAAGTGAAACAGCCTGGACACCAGAGAAAACACTGGATTTCATGCGTATGAAGAATCTAAAAATGAACTCGGGAATCAGATTGGAGTTAGGGACTGGAGGGTCAAGAGTCCGAGGATACACAATTTTAGTTTTTATTCTTTTTATTTAAGGGAACTGTATTTTTTAAAGATTTACTTTTATTGTCGGATGATGGTGCACACCTTTAATCCCAGCACTTAGGAGGCAGAGGCAGACGGATCTCTGTAAGTTTGAGGCCAGCCTGATCTACAGAGTGAATTCTAGGATAGCCTCCAAAGCTACAGAGAAACCCTGTTTCAAAAAAAATTACTTTTATTATTTTTAAGTGTGTGTTTGTGGGGGGGTGTTCACAAGTGCATGTGTATTCCCAGAGGCCAAAAAGGGCATCAGATTCCCTGGAGGCAGAATTGCAGGTTGTTGGGAGTCACCTGCGTTGGGTGTTGGAAACTGTATCTGGGTCCTCTGAAAGGGTAATAAACAATTTCTGAATCATTCCTCCAGCCCATTATTTAATTTAAAGACAGAGGCTGCTGGAAGGCAAACAGAGAGGCTTCCTAAGTACTCTTGATTAGATAGATTGTCATCTGTGCAAATAGTTGAGAGCATCATGCAGGAGTCTCTAAGGATCTCAGGAATTCCCATCTTCAGGATGGAATGGAATATCTATTAAAAAGATCCATCCATTCAGAAATGACACAAACTCAGGCATGCTCCAATATTTACAACAGATGAGGCCATAATGGATGCCTTGGGGTTGGTTTTCCAAATTGTTGGTTCCATATTATCCTTTGTAAAACTGTCCCAACGGTTAATGAAGAAGAAAGGCAGAATTGTCATTTAGATTCACAAATTTTTAACAAATTCCATTCTGATTTCCAATCTTAAATCGTTGTACTACGTATCTAAATGGAGGTGCAGTGTACAACTGAGAATGCCTTATACCTGCTGCACTTAGGTACATCTAAGAACCTCACTCAGCTTTCCTCTGTAGCCCCCCACCCCTCACAAAGTGCAGATTATCAGCAATTAGACAGCCATACTGTAAATCATAAGGAAAATTTGTCTAAGTCCCTTCTCTGAAATAGGTGATGGGGTAGTGTTATGAGAAAAGAGGGCCCAGGTTATGTAGTCTTTAGTTGGAACCATCATTCCCAGGTAGGTGTCAAGCTGATGGCACCCATGGAAGGGATGCTAAAACAAGTCTCACTGAGACTATAACACTCCCATGGCTTCTGCTCTCACTGCATGAATATGGTGTGAGTCTACTGGCATGATTGGTATGGTTTGAATATGGAATGTTCAAAGGCTCCCAAAGTGATGGGTCTGGAGGGCTCTGATAGTTCAGTCCACTGATAGTTTCCCAATTTGATGGTTTCACTGGAAAGTGATGGAAACTTGTGGATGAAGTAGGTCACCAAATGCATGTACTTGTGGATAATATCTTGTCTCAAGACATTCTTTGCTTCACTCTTGCCTTCCTGGCATCCACAACATGAGTGCTGCCTTCAGCATGCCCCTCTGCTGCTGCAATCCCAGAAAACAAAGAGCCAACAAATCATGGCTGTAACCTCTGAAACCACCAACCATAATAACCCTCCCTCTTTTCACTAATTCTATATGAAAGCAATAGTGGCTCAGTCTGCTGTTCAGGGACGGCTTCTGAGCCTAAAGGAGAAAGGGATACAAGAAGAAGCTGGGAGGGGCTTTTCACCAAGGGAAGTTATTATATGAGACTAAGCTGGAGATGAGAGAAGTTTTCTCTCTCCTTTACTCACACAAACATACCTGAGACTCTTTGACACTCACAGAGTACCAACCCAGTGTAGGTACCAGAGACATACAGAAGCTGTTTTGTGGCTCAAACAATGTTGATGTGTAGGGTTTAGAGCAGACAAACGTTAGGTAGAGTCCCTACAGACTTGTTTGTTAGGACTTAGAGCAGCTTTATCAGGAACTTACCACTTACCTTCAATATAGGAGAAAAGATGTGAGAAAGTGGCAAACCACATCTCCTGACTGATGTTGAAGAGTGAAACAGGAAACCAAGGGACGCAAGGCAGGAGGGCACATAAGTGCCAACTGCAATACTTTTATTGATACAGCTTCTTTGATAACAGGTCAAGTCTGCATTTCATCATGGAAGCCTATTCACACCAGGCATCTTCAAGGTTATATAAAGCACAATGATGCTGTTTTCCTTCAGAAAATATCTGAGGCCTGAGAATGTCATTAGATCTAACTATTCTCTAGAAACTGAGGAAGACTTCAGGCATTTCTGTGTTCCTTCCTACACTGGTTGGCACTCCAGATTTCCTTCTTAAGAAATGATAACATGAGATGTATTCCTGTCTGTCTCATAAATTTGTTACATCCTCTTATAGCCTTAGGGAGAGGAATGCCATTCCCTGAAGATGTGGTCAAGCTATGTCCTAAAACCTGTCGAGGGTCTCTGATTGGGTTTTTACTTTGAATTCCTGTATGGGCTTCCCTCAACAATGGACTGTGACTTCTTAGTTAAATAACTCCTTCAAGTTGGTTTGGTTTGTGTTTTGTCACAGCAACAGGAAGGCAATCAAGGATAAAAGTCAAGACAGAGTGTACACCTGTGTACCCGAGGCATAATATCAGCTATCTAATATAAAAAGAACAGACACTTAAGGCTGCAAAAAAATTTTAAGCTGCTCTTTATTATCAGTACTTGAGTCTAAAACAGAGTACAGTAAAATTTTTATTGAACCAGAACATGCTTAATGTTCTACCACGCGTTATTCATGAACAAAGTTTATTATTTTTCCAGAAATTCAAATGCTAAATACTGATGGACTTAAATCCATTCAAAACTTTTTAATATTTAAAATAACATGGAACATTGTTCCAGGTATTAGAATGTTCGGTTTTACCAATCTATGAATCTAATATATTTTAATTGCTAAATAAAATATTTCTATATACATAAGGCAAACTAATCCTAATAGAGAAACATTTTCTACCCCAGAGGGTAACTGAGAGCCTCATGCTGGGCCCATTGACTCTATGCTGCTTCACACCAACCCTAATGTTTAGGCCATTCAAGAATTACCTAGGAAATGCCAGTTGTCAATTTTGTGATGTTCCTGAGTATTTTTTCAGAATTCAAAGAAGTCTTTATATCCCTTAGTGTGCAACATTTCTAATGGAGGAAAAATTTCACCCTCCAATATCCATGCCATTTTCTAAGTCCTTCCACCAGGCCCTCAGTCATCAAGTTATTCTCCCATTCAGTGGCCCTACCTAGCATCTGTAATATGGGTTCATCATAGCTTTTTGAATAAAGGACATATTCATTTGACAGAGAAATTTTCCTAATAGTGACTATAAACTTTGTCCTCATGCATTTATAATTGTCAAGGATAAATCAGCATTCTCTTTGTCTCCGCCAGAGTTTCCACACAAGTTTGGAATAAACATTTCAATTGTCACTATGGAAGACAGAATGCCCCTTATTGGCATGCAGCACCATACTCACAGAGAGAGTAGGGTGTGTGAAAAGTCTCCCCGTGTGCCTCCTGGAGGTCTGACATTGTGGCCTGACTCTACTGCTTTGTATAGATACTGCTGGCCCTTCTAACTTTCTCTGGTCTCAGTTTTTCCCCCATTATGTTGCCGTCTGAGTTAATGGAACAAATGAACTCATGTTTATGGGACACCGTAGACTGAGGACTGACTGGTCAATTGGAGGGAGGATTGATTTGGTCCCTTAGCCTTTGTTGTTGTTTGTTTGTTTTTAGACCTGGAACTCACCACTGAGTTTCTATTTTGAGCTCAATTAATATTGAACACTATTTTCTTAATTTCAAAATTATACAGTAAAACAAAATCACTACCTTCTGGGTTTTACAAATATGTGATAATAGTAGTTACATAAGCATATACATATCCAAACTAACAAGATAATGTACATAATCATTAAATATTTACATGCCTAATCCTCAGCACCCTCCATCCCCTTTCCAGGTCATGCTCAGGCTGACCTCCAACTTGCTGTAATCCTCCTTCTCAGCTTCTAAGTGCTGGAATTATAGTCACTGCCCCTGTCTCCTCAGCTTTTTTGATGGACACTGTTATTATGTAGAACAAGGCTGTGTCACATATACAATAACTCAAGGATGGAAAACTCACCCATGTGAGGAATTTGGCTGCTTTGCATAAATACAGGAACAAATCCAAGACAAATCCACAGAGGGTGACTGAAAAATTGCTACCATGAAAACTATTTCTAAGAAATAGTAAGATATCTAGGCTGCTCTGTATCTGTACCTCCAACTGGCCCCTTTCTCAGTTGGAGCTAGTAATTCAGGTGCTAACATCTGATTGCAGGGTTCCCATCAACACTGATAAATACTATAGTCAGTCTGTTAGTACGTGATTATTCCGTGAAGTTGTTAAATGTTCTGAATGGCCACTTGGTAAGGGTTTTCAGTTGCCTTCCAGCAGTAGCCTTGTGGGAACCAGGTCACTACTCTTCATTTCCTTCCTCATGCAAAGATGCTGAAAGAACAGGCCTCTCAGAGTCCAGTCCCCTCTCAGAATCTTTAGCAGCTCGCTGGCTTTCTTTATTGAACTCCTGAAGAAACGCCATGATGTGCAAGGCCATGGGATCCGATTTGTTTTCAGAATGTCTCCTTTCAGCAATTCTTTGAAGTTTGCTTGCCATCTTTTCTTTAGGCTTCGTCTTCTGCGCTATTTTCACACCCTCCATATAATGGTGGATGGCTTTGTCTTCACACTTCATTTGAAAAAACTGAAAATTGCCATACTGTAGGTGGAGCAACTGCTTAAGGCCAGGAGTGAGTTCCTTCTTGAATTCTTTCTGGAAGTAATAATCGGCTTCTTCATACTGCTTTGCCATGGCATAAAGACCAGCAAGGTAGCTACAGGAATGTTCTAGCATCTCCTTGGTCTCCTCTGCTTTCCTTAAGTGTTTAATTGCTAGTTCCAGTAACTTCTCTCGATTTCCATCCCATGCAGTTTCTCTTGTGGAACCTATTTGAAGGACTTTTGACCTATAGAAGCACCCAATATAGTAATGCATGTAGGCATTATTTGGTAGGAATTCTAAAGCCTTTCTAAGCAACTGTATAGCTCTGTCTTCATCATGTGTCTTATAATAAAACTTGGCCGCACTACGGAGTACATCTGTCGCACCCGGGGCTTCCCTTAAGGCTTCTTCAACTAGTGCCTTTCCTTGGTTTTCATGCATCATCTCAAGCTTCAGTGCCAAGAGAACTTTAACATAAGGACTGTTGGGAGACAGTCTAATGGCTTGCTTCAGAGAGTCAACAGCATTCTGCCGTGCTGGCCAGTTGTCCAGACGGTAGTTCGAGATGGCCCAGCCAGAGGTGAATTCTGGGTTCTTCGGGTCCTTTTCCAGAGCCTTCTCAAAACACACCTTCACTCTCTCATTTTGGTTTTGGGTACACTTTAACCGGGCCCACCCTTCCTCACAGTCGAGCTCAGGACTCTCAATCCTGTAGGGACTGGAAAACTTCTCACAGACCTGTCTCACCTTGTCAAGGTAAGCCTGCGCTTTTTCTAGTTGGTCCATGTGATAGTAAACCCAAGCGTAGTTTCCCCAGGTGACTACACTTCTGATTTCTGCTTGGTCGGGATGCTGTTGCTGGATGAAGTGTTCAGCTTTTTCTAAGCATTCCAGCGCTGCCTTATTTTGACCTCTGCGGTGCATTACATAGGCCAATATGTTGCACATTGTGGCTTTACACTCACTGTTCTGAAACTCATCCTTGTTAAATACCTTGTCCTCAAACTCATCCAAGGACTCATCTCCCGCTATCAAGTTCCAGGTGAAATGGCATTTTAGCTGCTGAAGCCTGCTTTCCAAAGATTTCTCCATGGCCGTGCTGTGGGACAGAAAAAATAAAAAATAAAAGAAACGGTCATGTGGGGACACATCCCACGTTCACCTGGCAAGGAGTAGGATCACAGCAAATATTTGTTTCCTTCTAAACAGTGTTAATCTAAACTAAACCTAACCAAGGGACACACTTTGTTTTTTTCCAGTATTTAGCATATGTCTGAATTACTGCATAAGGAAGCAAGCGTTTGCTCACTTGGGCCAGAAGGACTGACAGAAGGGAGTGAGTCCATCCTAGAAGCAGTTTGGGTTTCCTAGAGAGACTGGCTGTACTTCCTAGCTCTTTCCTTTTCCTTTGCCTTGGAGGGCCTTTGAACTCCAGCGCAGCTTCAGTGTTACTAGTGAAGCTTTTTTCATTTAAGAAACAGTAACTCAATCACTTCTTTACTCTTAACCTCTTATATACTATTGAGATTTGAAAATCTTAGCTACATGTTTGTATGCTATTGACATTTCATTGTGCTGAGTCTAAATTGTTTGTTATCTTAGCCCTTTCGTTTTTCCTTTAAATGTCAATGTCTTACTATTTCCTATTATTATTCAAACTTTTAAGGTGTTTTTAAAGGAAGGATGGTTTATTTTGATTTGTGCTTTAAAAGGTTCAGTCCATCCTGACAGGGAAGGAATGGCGTATTTCACGGCAGCAGGAGCATGTGACTAGACCTCCTCACATCTCAGTGGATCAGGAAGCAAAGAGTAGGGATAGTGAGACTCATCTGGATTTCTCCTTTAGTGACAAGATTTTTTAAAAGTAGGTGTGTATGTCTATGTGTGGTTATGAGCACGTGAGTGTGGTGTCCACAGAAGCCAGCAGAGGACACTGTATCCACTGGAATCAGAACTACAGACAGTTGTGAGCTATCCCCTATGGGTGCAGGGAACAGAACTTAACTCCTCTAGAAGGGCAGTATTTGCTTGTAATTATCAAGCTAGCCCTCCATCCCTAGTCCAACTTTAATGTGTTTTCTTTGTTTAGCATATCATCTTGAGATTTTTATCATGTTAGTTGCATCTTTTTATTTTAAACATTTTACTCTTCTGCTGTTGGGTTATTCTGTTAACCACTTATTATTAAAAGATTATTTTTAAAAATTAGTTTTGTTTTAAATGTTTTTATCTTGCATCTTGTACTTTGCATTGGCTGCCCCTTTCCCTGCCCTCTTCTTTCTCTGTTTCCTTGCCTTCATTCCTGTCTCAAGTCTTCCACTTTCACCTTGATATCACGTGAGCTCTGGTCCCCCCACCCCTCCCTTTTAAAGCCTATTTTCTGTCTTACCCTGATCCTGGTCCCATTTCCATTTTCCTGACATCTGCACACATTCACATAAAAATACATATGTAAAGCTAAGATTTACAAATGAGGGAGAACATGCAATATTTGCTGTTCTGAGTCTGGATTTTCTTACTTGTTACGATATTTTCTAGTTCCATTCATTTTCCTGCAAATTGCATGACTTCATTTTGTTCTTTTAGAAATACATTTTAGTTAAAATATAATTGCATGACTTCCGTCTTTCTCTTTTGTCCTTCCAGACCTTCATGTGTCTCCTCCCTCCAGACCTCCCCTGCTCCCCCACTCTCAAATTAATAGCCTCTTTTTCTTTTTTCTTTGAGTATTGTTACATATTTGTGTGTGTGTGTGTGTACATATGCACAAATCTACAAATACAGTCTGCTGAGCGTATCTTTTGTTGTTAGTGTGTGTGTGTGTGTGTGTGTGTGTGTGTGTGTGTGTGTGTGTGTGTGGTTTGGGGGCTGAACGCTAAGTAACCAGTGAGATAGCTCGTCCCTGGGAGAGGCTAATCCTTTAATTTTTTTATGGTTGAATAAAATTCCATTGTATGTATAACATCTCCATTATTCATTCATTATTGTTGGACACCTAGGCTGATTCCATTTCCTTGTTTTTGTGAGGAAAAACATGTTTGTTTAAAACACACATCAATGATCTGAAATAAGACTAAAAGCCCTTTGGGCATCTGCTCATTGTAACTGCTTACATTTTACTTTCAATCATCCTTGATTTTTACCCATTTTACCATCTTTTGAATATTTCTTCTATTAATTGTATTATATATATGAGCAATGCCTGAAACTTTTTTAGAATAATTTTTATTTAAATTAGGAATAATCTTATTTTACATATCAATCCCAGTTCCCTCTCCTTCCCATCCTCCCATGCCCCCCATTGACCCCATCACCTCAAACTTTTATTTCAGAATGAAATGTAGTCCCCATACCCCTCTCCCATTTCTGCTTCTTACAGTGGTAGTGATGTCTCACTTTGGTGACTCATTAACACTTTGACATTACTATTTTAATTTCCCTTTGTATTTTAATCTCTCAGGTTTATATTTTATACCCGGGATAGGAAATGTGGTTACAGGGAAGGCTTATAAGCATCCAGCCCCTTTTGGGTGGGGGGAGAACTTTTTATTCAGGGTACCCTTGTGACTCTTAAAATTTTTTCCATCCTGTAAGATACCCTTCAGTCTTATCCATAAACAGATAAGGAAATAAACAGGAAACAAACTAACCTACCACAGAAGCCTCTGGAATTTTATTTTTTTTCTTTTATTTTTCCATGCTGTATATACATCAGCTGTGTATTCTAATATTAAAGTTTCTGACTTGTACAGTTTATAGTTGGAAAACCACACGAAGTGACAAAGATCATGTCTGAACTGTATTGACTGTACTCAACCCCTCTCTTTGACTTTTTACCTTACATCTTGTAACCATCCACATTTTTTGTTGGGCCAGAGTTAGGGTTACCAGACAGGAAATAGATCTGAGAGGCAGTGAGTGAGACAATTTCCTTCCTTCCTGTCTGTGCTCTGTTTAGTTATCAACCTTCATTTCATGTAATTCTGAGATTAATTCAGCAACTACAAGTAAAATTCAGATGTGCAGTAAGCAGGGTTAGTAGTCTAAGTACAACTTTACAACTTAAGCAATAAAGAAATCTAAGAAGAGCTATTCCGTTAAATAATATTCATATTAGGTACTCTCAACTTAATTTTGCAACTAGAGAGGGAGAGAGACAGAAGAGAGAGGGAGAGGGGGAGAGAGAGAGAGAGAGAGAGAGAGAGAGAGAGAGAGAGAGAGAGAGAGAGAGAGAGAGAGAGAGAGAGAGAGAGAGAGCAATTCTTCTGGATCCATCCTCACAGGAAGTCCCTGCTGGATCGAACAGCTCTCTTTGACTTCGGTTCTCAGCTGCCAGCTAAGCAGATCTGTTGGAAGCAACTGAGTATCTCTATGACATATGTATAACTATAGAGACAGAGGTGGGAAAGGCAATAAACAAACACAGAAACGCAACTGGCCTCTGCTGGGACCGTGGCTGCTTAGGATTTGCAGCCATCATCAGGGCTGAACGTCTAGCCATCAGAGAAAGGGAAGACATACCTCATGGGTGCTGTGTAACTCCCAGCTGTTTTGAAAGGCTCAGTGCAGGCTGCAGCACACTCCAGACAATCTCATCCTCTGACTTCTAATGAAGTGCTAATGACCCATATATAGCAGCAGCTGCTGGTTTCTTTTCCTGTTTCTTTGCAGCTGACCCCATGGAAGAGAAATTGAAACCAGAAAGTAAAACTGATGTCACTTTCTATGAACAAATTAGTTGTAAAAGAGCCAAGCCCTCAGTGCACTGTGTGTCAGAAGTATTGATGTCTTAGATTTGCAACACAGAGGGTATTCAACCTGGAGAAGGAAACCTTTACCTCAGCATCCTGCCTCACATTGCCACGACAGCCCATCCTCACTCTCATCACCCTTACGACTCACAGGCCACTGTAAGGAGCAGTTTCTGCTCTCCTGGCAGGGATTTTTCTCTGACTCATTCACTAAGCTGAAGGTCCCTTCCTTCAGTGACAGGTGCACACTCCATGGCATGGCAGGGCTTCCAAATGCAGATGCTGGATGACTGAACACAATGCCAAGCTTGGGCTCCAATACCCGTCTATATGCATTTCTGTGCTGTGGCTCTCTGGGGGGTAAATTACTGTTTGCCTCTGCTTTAGTTTCTTCTGTTCTGAATTGGGAACACCATAGCTACCAGATCATCCTGGTGATGGGAGGATTAAGTGGGTTGAATGAATGAGATGCTCTAGAATCATGCCTGACACCTAGTAACTGATATAATTAGTAACCAAAATCACAAACTTTGGATGTTTGCTTTTTCCAGAGCCTGAAATGGTCTGACATTCCATGACCTGTCATGATCACTGACAAACCTAAGGCAAATAATCCTTAGGACAGTCTATTATTCCTGGCTTCCTTGGGACCCACCTTTTGGGGCAGCTTGTCAGTCAGCATGTGCAAACCCAGATGTGCAGCAACTCTCATTCATGATAATAAAAAAAGAAATATACCATCCTTGCTTTTTCCTTAGTTACAGCTCTGTTGGTTAATCTTGGCAGTCTGCTTGTCTTGGCAAAGCACACTTCTGCCTCTGCCTGTGAAAGCACTTCTACAAAAACTGGCTAAGGGGTTGCAAACAAGATGAAGAAGGCCTAACCTGAATGTCAGCAGCATGGCAGAAGGGGGAAGCTGGCATGAGCACCCCTGATCAACCAACCCTACTTGACCACTTGAATTTTTGTAATGTTGCCCTCACCCTTGAACACTCCATGAAGACTCACACAAAGACTCCCTTTCTTCAGCCTTTGACACACTTTCACCAGGAATTCTCCAGGGGCCTTCCACGCCTCAGCCCTAGAATGGGGTGTCATCACTGGTCCCTTATATTCTCAGGCAGGTATTTAGCTACTCGACCTGAGCAGACACTGGTTTTCTGGGACCTCTACAGAAGGACAGTCTGTAACTATACAACCTCTGATTATGCAAGGCAACTTTATATATCCCATTTTATGAACTCTCTGGGAAACTCTGAGCCACAAAATACCCTTACGACACAAGAATCACAGATCATACAGACCAGAAGGTCAAAAGGATTTTTTGGATCACCTGGATCACACCAAGGCCAACTCCTGAAAGTAGATTCTCATCTGCATAATTTCCTGCTGTACTCACTGACAAATCAAAATACTTAACGGGATCTTCCAAATGAACTTCAACAATCCATGTAGCCAGTAAACTAGCTTTGCATCTCTATTTTCTTCCTCAGAATTTACTTTAGTTTGATTAAATGTCTTTCTCGAAGGTTCATTTCCCAAAGGCTTGGTTGCCGGCTGATTGTACTAATGGAACCAATGAAAGGAAATTAGGTCATTGACAGCATGCCTCTGAAAGGGATTTGGGGGTACTAGCCTCTTCCTGTCTTATTCTTTACTTCCTGATCATCATGTGACAAGAACTTCCTCTGCCCTGTTCTCTCCACTACAGGGTTTGCTGCAGACCCAAGTGACCATAAGCCAAGGTAAATCTTTTTTCTTCTTAAGTTGGTATTTTGTTATAACCATGGAAATTTAACTAACACAGAAATAAATTCAGCATTATCTCTTTTTGCTATGGTTCAAATGTACTCCCTGAAGTTCTTGTTAGAAACTTGATTCCCATGTGCCAATGTAGTGAATGGGGTGCCTGGTGGTGGGAGGTAGGTTGATGGGTCATAGGAGCCAATGACACAAACTGAATGGATCCATGCTGTTACCACAGGAGCAGGTCTCCCTAGGAGGGCAGTTGCTTCTTGCTCTCTGAGATTTCTCACCAGGAATGCTCTTGGCAAATGCATTCCCTCTATCTCCTATGTCCTGACCTTCTGAACTGTGAGGAAATAAATTTCTGTTCATTATGCATTATCCAGTTCATGCCATGCTTATATGAAAGAAAAGGGGAGTAAGGACCTTCTTTTTCAAAGATTAAAAAATTGTGTATGTTTCTGGGTATGCATGTATATTGTGAGTGCCAGTGGAACCCAGGAAAGGGCATTGGTTTCCCTGGAGCCAGCATTACAGTTGGCTGGTTGGTTGTTAGCTACCTGATGTGAGTGTTAGGGATAGAACGCTGGTCCTCTGTAATAGTAGGAAGTATTTTTAACCACAGAGCCATTTCTCCATCCACTAAGGAATTCCCTTAACAGTAAAATTTGAGATTTCAGATGAGCCAGCGTCTTTGACTGGGAACTTGAGACAATTAAGTGCCTTCTCTACAGTCCCAAGCAGAGGATAAACTTAGAAATAAGTTTACATTGGGTAGATTGACCTCTGTTTCTGATAGAACACTAAGAGTATTTGTTTTATTCATTCACAATTCATTCATAAACGTTTATTGAGTACAATGTTCTAGGCACTTTGCAATTGCATTCTAGGCTCTTGGAATGCATTAGTGTATGATGTCTCTGACTTCATGGATCTTACAATCTGACAGGAAAACATGAAAGCACACAGGACTGTTGTGGAATGATTTACGTCTTTCTTCTCTCTTGACTACTTAGCCCCTGGTGATATGCAAGCGGGTACAATAAAGAAACTGATGATATGACTACTCGTTATTGGTAAGGTTAAGTTTTATATATATATTTATGAGAGAGAGAGAGCACAGCCAGAGATATCTGGAAGAATCTAAAGCAGAGAGAAGGAAAAAGACTGCCCATGGCCAGCACTAGGGAAACGGGAGAGCAGGAATTAATAGTGGAGATATCCAAATATAACATAGTAAATGAGCCAAGAGACAGTAAGGGAGTAAGAGACAGTAAGTAGATATCTAGAGATAGATAGATAGATAGATAGATAGATAGATAGATAGATAGATAGATAGATAGAGCAAGGATAGTAAGATCAGAGAATAATGGGAATAGACAGGTTATAAGAAGGATGAACAGCTGACAGGAGGGAAACCTGTCAGCTGGAAGGGGTTTAGAGTAAAAGAGGTGAGAAGGACTAGGATGTTAGCGTGGACATTGAAATACATAACAGATACTGTGATACTGATGGAGCTTAGAGGCCAGCATGGATTGATGGTGCCATAGGTAGCCTTATGTCCCTCCTGCCAGGTGATAGAAATGACTCCTTTTGGCAGATAGGAACTGGTTTCACAAGTTCCTGAGGAATTCTGTGTTTTATCTAACCACTAGAAACCCTTCTATATAGTACAGGTTGAGTTTATTTCTTGATAGATGAACCACCTTTTGGAACTTAGGGAATTGGAGCTTCCTTTGGACCTGACACTGAGGTTTGAAATAGAACCTTTAAGTGATACTAGATGAGGTAATGACATCAAAATGAAAACTATAATCAAGAAAAGTCATTACAACAAACATGACAAAGATAATTTAATTTGGATAGTTAAAAAAAACTGTACTGGTTAAGAAAATTGTAATGTGAATAGGTAGTTTAAAATCGAATGAATAATGATGAGTTTAAAAATCTAATGAACAATAATGACAGAAGTGTCTATTGTATGAATAATGTTTTTTATTTAAATTAGAAACAAACTTGCTTCACCTGTCAATCCCAGCTCCCTCTCCCTCCCCTCCTCCCCTGGCCCCACCAGCTCCCTCAACCCCCACCTCATCCCTCCTCCCCTCCCCAGGGAGGGTGAGGCCCTCCATGGGGATTCTCCAAAGTCTGTCATATCATCCAGGACGGGATCTAGGCCCTCCCCAATGTGTCCAGGTTGAGAGAGCATCTCTCCATATTGAATGAGCTCCCCAAGTGCATTCATATGCCGGGGATAAATACTGATCTAATACCTAAGGCCCCATAGATTACCGAGGCCTCCTCACATTCAGGGAGTCTGGATCAGTCCCATTCTGGTCTCTCAGCCATCAGTCTGGGGTTGAACAGTGTTTTAATGCTACTTAAAAGTGTACAGTGACATATTTTGTGAAAACTCAGTGATCTCAGGCATGTGGCAAATGAGGGACTTTCACAAGAGAGTTCCTGGAGGATTTGTGATACAGACCTTGTAGGGCAAGGTGGTGGGATAGGAAAGGGGCTTTTGACATAATAATTTGAATCTTAGGAATGTTTAGATCGAATATTCAGTCAAAGGTATTTGTGTGTGTGTGTGTGTGTGTGTGTGTGTGTGTGATGTCGTATGCGTGTGTTTAATGTAGAATGGTCCCCTTTTTCAGGAACTCACTATATAATGCAAATTAAAATTTGAACTCACAGTCCTTCTGCCTTAACATCTGGAGAGCTGGGATTACAGGTATGCACCACCATGCCCAGCTTGTGTTGGTCTTTTGATATCTTAACATGTTAGGGAACAGTTTCCAGTTATCCATGCAAACATTAATCTTGGTGTTATCCAGTTTGTGTGTGTCCATGTGTGCATGGTGCCTGTGTGAGTGCATGCATATGTGTGCATATATGTGTGTATGTATGTATGTGCTTGTTGGGAAAAGCTTTGTGTTGGGAAATCAATATATAATGGCTAAAATTTAAAAAAAAAAAAACAGGAACCATCACTGTACTCACATTACTGAAAGGCATAGAGATAAGGAACAAAAGAGTCACCGAGTGAGTTCTTTAGTGACTTTGGAGAGTAGGGAACAAGGTTAGATGGAGCTGCGAGTCTGCTGTCCTAACTGCCCTGAAGCTGATTGTTTATAGCAATTAAATAATGAAAAAAATGATTTACCTACAAAATAAATACA